TATTGGGTTTTATTTACCAATACCTTCACCTATGATTCACTACCTACCTTGAATTTTGATTCATTTCCCCACTTGTCACTGTTCCAATTGTACGAATTGTACTTAAGTTTATGGGGTGGACTGAACAATAAAAACCCCTTTTTGGGGAAATGTAGAGTTAAATAAGATAATATTAGTTAAAAATGCTTAATTTATTAACATATAAATAATTTAGTATTTTTATATCATTTTTGTTAAGGTTATATTATCAAAATTTAAATTTTAAGTTATTATTTAAATAAACAAATATATTGTTTAGTATAAATGGGTCTAGACCTAATAGACTCGATTGTTAATTAGGACAGTTCCATGTCTATGATTTTGTCTCAATTAATCACATAGATGTTAATCTATGATTCATTGGGTACCTATAAATCACAGACCGACATCATTGGGTACCTATAAATCCTACCTAATAAAAAAATATTTTTTTAGTTCCATGATATTAGTACCATTAGATCTGCACCTAGATGTTAATCTATGATTCAATCATTAGAAAATGTTAATTTTTAAATTTGATCATTGGATGAAAGATTAGTATAGTAGGGTGATGTCACATTGAATATAGCAATTTTATTTAAATCTTTTAGGTAACAATATAAACACGAAACACAATATTGCTCAAAACACTTATTCAAGTACCAATAAAAACAAGTTTCATGTCAAAAAGTCTGTGTTGGTATATCATCTCTAAACATTTGAGCTTGGAATGCAATGGTACCAAACACAATCTTAATATGTTTTTTGTAATGTATTAAGAGTTTTGGTAAGAAAATGAAAATTTCAAATTCAAACCCTTTTTGATACTTTTCATTGAGAAAGAAAATGCTTATTAGTAGGGCATAAGGCTTGAGGACTACAGATTCTAAGTGACAATTTAGATGTTATTAGTAAAAGTGCTAAAGAAAATTTCTTGTGTTGTCCACCAATTGATCATAGGTTTATGAGATTTCTTATATTTAGTAATGCTTATTGCTATAGAATGGAAGGTTGGGAATAAGAAAATACTTTTTTTTGAGAGAGAAATGGTAAAGTATTTCATTAACAAAAGAATAAAATAGATACAAAAAGATTTCTATACTCCAAAAAAGAACTGTAAGGACAATTCTTGAACATTTTGTACGTTGCCACCCAAGAATTTAATCTTGTCCAAATGCTCTTTAAGACTTCCTCCTCTGATCTCAATTGATTTTCAAAGAGTTGTATGTTTCTTTCCGACCAGATTGGCCATACCACCACCGTTGGGAGGCACTGAACTCTAAAGACCTCTAACATTTTCATCCAAATTACCCAACTAAATCTGTAGTGCAGGAAGAAATGCTCCAACTTTTCAGAATTGTTGCCACATCTGCTTGGTTCTACTACCCAACCTCTCTTTTTCAAATTATTGTCAGCTGTTAAGCACTTCCCTAAGGTCGTCACCCATAGACAAAAGGAAACTTTTAAAGGAGCCACCGTCCTCCATACGTGGTCTTGGGGAAAATTGTCTTCCTCCTCCTTGCACCTGCTATAAAAAAGACTTGACTAAGAACCTACCTGATTTCTCCGTTGTCCAAATCCTCCTGTCCTCTTTGTTCTATCCACCATTATCGTACTTATGATCTGCATCAACTCCTCCCACTCCACTTCCCAATCATTTAGGTTCCTTCTAAAATTGGGACACCACACACTGGCCCCTCCAACCTGAGAAAACACCTCCGACACCAAACACTCCTTGTTGATGGCAATATATCAAAGAGGGTTGGGAATCTGTCCTTAAGAGGACGATCCTCGCACCAGACCTCCTTCCAGAATTTGACTCTAGAACAATCTCCTATTTCCATTCTTAAACCTTGTCCAAAAATTCTTCTCTGACTTTTGAATACCCTTTTGGACCGCACATCCATAAGATAAATTTGATTCTCCTGAGTCCCAATTTGAGTTTCTTGAGTCATACTTAGCCTCTATTGCTTTTCTCTATTGACTTGTGGTCTGTTCATTCCACCTCCAATTTATCTGTTCCTCACACAGAGTGCCTCACACCGATTTCATATGCACATTCTACCATGCATTGGGAGCATCATCTGTACTTATAAGTTATTATTCATGGGAGATGTTCCCAATGCACGGTGAGGTGCCCATGTGTGAGGAAAAGATCCTGTTCCTTCCAATACCATTTCTCAAGACAAGCCAAATTAAACTTTCTCACATTCCTTAAACCCAAGCCTCCCACCTTTCTAGGTTTACAAGCTTTGCTCCAATTGACTAAATGGAATTTAAACTCATCCTTCCATCCCTACCAAAGAAAATCTCTCGTTGCCTTCAACAACTTAATCGCACCAACTGTACTAACTGGATTGAAGAAGAGAGACAACAAGTAGGTAGGAAAGAGAAGACAAAACACTTATTAAAAGTGTAAGTTTCCCTCCCTTCGATAGATATTTCGATTTCCAAGAGGCAAGTTAGTTATGAGTTGTTTATGGTAGGCTGTCAACAGGCTTTGAAAGTTTTGAAAGCTGATCCAACATCTGACCAAATGCAAATTTTGGTCCAGTTTTAATTTGATTCACTTTATACTTTATTTTGCTTTGTCTTTCAACTTATTTCATCTAAGCTGCATGCAAACAAAATAAGGTAAAAGTTGAAATAAGAATAAATAGGAACTTGCACTTAAATTGATCATCATTTACACTCATATTTTTGCACCAGGGTAAATAAAATTCCATTGCAAACAAATTAGGCTTTAATGGATGATACAAGAGATTTTTAGTAAAACATTTATTGGTATAGTAATCCTATTTTTGGTCTCCATGGGACTACACAACAGGGGTAGCCCATCCCAGCATCATTCCCAAGCCCATAATCCCAACTCTAACCTCTGGTGCAGRCGGAATTCGATCCCAAATCTTTGCTATAATCAACAAGAGACCTTACCAACTAACCAACTGGCATCTTTCTATTGATACAGTAATTACTCTCACCCCAGCATGCTACTAACTTTCACCTCACTTAATTGCTTTTTTTCAAAAAGACAAACCAAAAAACAATTCACTTCAGCCAATTCAACTATTATCCAACAGTTCCTTGGTCAAATTTATCAATAGAGCATCGTTAAAGTCTTAAAGATCAGTAAGTGGTATGATTATACAAGCAATGGGGATTAATTATATTATTGAACTCACATAAGGTCATCAGGGACTATAGAAGCAATTCCCTTAACTTAGCCAAAGGAACACCATCCAATTCAAAAGGAAAGAAATAAATAAATGTCTAATGAAGGTAAGTTAGTAATGCTATGATTCTGCTTGCTTCTTTCATTTTTTAAAGCTACAATGCTGAATTGAATGTTATCCATAAGGCCATTAGCTAATGTTGGCACTTAAGGCTGTGTTTGGTTGCAATGCAAATAAATTTGTACTGATGCAAAACCATAACAATGCAAATGATTTGAGTGTAAATTCTGACCAATTTTTGTTTCAAATTTTAGCTTATTTTGTTTGATTGCAGTATAAATGAAGTAAATTAATACATGAAACAGAATAAATAAAATTCAAAACAAAATTAAACAAAAATTTGCCTTTTTTGCATTTGCACTAATACAAATAGAATTATATTGCAACCAAACACAGCCTTAGGATCTACTACTCGCACTGCTGTGCATCGCTTTCTACTTAATCAATCACAAGTGATCACGCCAGACCTAAGCTTTAGCATTTTTGTGCAAGTCTGTCAAACTTGAACTCACATTCACACACTTTGCCCCATATTTCACCATCCTATATAAAAAGAAGAAAGTTTTAGGTCCCAACTTTAGTAATGTTCAAATTTTACATGCCTAGAATGCCCTTTATTCAATTTTTCCTTATATCATTAATTATCTGATTGTCTCTTGTTCTTGCTGAAAAATATATATATTATATTATATTATTTGTAACTTATAAGTCCTCTCTTAATTTGGTCCATTTATTTTCTGTCCACTATATTCTTTATTCTCTTGTTTACCCAATATTCATTATATTTCATATTACATTATTATATAAAATATATTATTTTTATATCTATAACAATGACCCAATTTTAGTTGATGTGCAAATTTTATATACCTAAAATACCCATTTAATTATATTTACACAAAATTCTCAATTTTATCTTTATCCATTTATCTCCTCTCTCCATCTCCTCCAACTGACCTCTCACACGTGCATTTAAACGTGTCACTCAACTAGTGGATATAAAAAAGAAACCTGATGTCTGTGGCCCATGACTTGTGTAGTTTTTAGATCTGCTATACAGACAAGCACAAACACATAGAAATGTACAGCCAAACATGTACTTAATTGGTCCTCACAMACTTAGAGAGACACAAATGCCTAGAACATCCAAAAACATTAAAGCCCATCAAACTAAACTAATAAATTACCAATTTCAAAGCCCCTGAAGAGCACTAAAAAACTCTTTTATCAATTTCTAAGTTCATGCATCTCTTCAAACTAAAAGCAAAGAAGTGGTGATTAAATGGATAAGGGCAATGTATCACACATTTCTTAAGCTCTAAGTAAGCATATAAGCAGAAAGGGATATATATGAAGTCATAAGGTTCTATTTGAAAAAGAAAAGAAAGAAGAGATGGGTGTCGTTAAGCCAAGCAGGCACATGCCCATCCAGCTGAGCAAACACAAAAGGACAAATAATCCCGGAGTGCTTAAATATCACCCCAGAAAGGACAATCAATTCAACCTTTAACCAAAAGGAGTAATCCTGCCACAGCTTTGGCAATGGTATATTCCCTTCTCTGCGACATATTCTTATGTGTCAACCCAGACCCCAGATACCAGTCACCCAGGTCAATCTAGGCCGTCCATGTTAATCTGAAGGGCCCATGTTGGTTCAACATCATTGGTAAACTAAACCCTAGAAAGGTGGGAAAAGAACAGTTGAAAAAACAAAGAAGAGAAGAAGAATTACATTTGAAAACAAAAGAATAGTTAATTTCTGTCTGGAGGACAAAAATCCCTCTCTTCTTATCTGACCGGTCAAAGGAACAATTAAAAGCTCTCATTCAAAGAAAATAAACAAGATTACTCTGAACAGGACGTGCATTGACTGATTCTTTGTTTTCCCTTTTCTTTGACTAGCTAGCATCCACAACACTACTAGCTTTTTCTAATCATAAACATACTGAAACAAAACAACTAATCAAGATTAAACAAAGAAAACAAGAAAAGAGAAGAGAAACACTGTGATTGATCTGTAGATGAAGTTACTAAGAAGAAGAGGAGGAATCGAATTGGTAATATTTATCGACTGCAACTGTTACGTCCCAGGTGCAACTTAATCCCTTGGGGATGATGACTAGATCTCCAGCACCGAATTCCACACAGTCTGAGGATCCTTTTGTGTATGATTTCACCTTCCCTCTCAGTAAATAACATGTCTCTCTTGCATCAAACTTGAGTGGAAATTTTCCTGGAGGACAACCCCATCTATACAAAGAAGAAGAAGAAGAAGAAGAAGAAAGCAGTAGCGTGAGAACAACTGAAAGCAGCAACCTTATGTGATAGAAAAAAGATGTCGTTTAACAAGTTAATTAATGAGAACGAAGAAGAAAATCAAGGGGAGGAGGAAAATACTTACTTAGGCCATGATTTAATACCCAATTCAGCTAAACGTGAATCTGATGGATTCCGCTCCACGATGATGCTAGGATTGTTGATAGAATCTGAATTTAATTCTGTGGCCATGAAAAAGAAGAAAAAGACAGAAAAACAAGATGCGAAAGAATAACGGAAGAGAAGATAAGAATGTAGGAAGGATGGTGTGGGGGGAGGAGTGATATGGGTGTTTGGGGCTCTCTATTATTTATCTTTCCTGTAGTTAGGATTTATTGGGTTTTTTGTTTCTGAGAAGGAAATAAGGAATCTTTACATGAAAAAGGTAGAATATATAATACAGGTAGAACAGAAGGAAGACGAGAGAGAGAGAGAGAGAGGTTTGTAATAACTAATCAGCAAGTACATCAGATAGAGTTATTATCTCGTGAGAATTTGAGTGCTTGAGGGATTTCTTATTACAGGATAAAGTCTAGAAGGAAAAGAAAATATATATTTAAGAAAAAAACTATTAAGGATTGTTTGTTGGGACGTTCTCAGAAGTATAAAGAATCAAGAATCACGTGGCAACATGGTTGGAGCTCAAAATGGGTCCAATTTGTTCTCTTTTCAACCTCACACAAAAAAAAGTTTCAACTGAAAATCCTTATCACGTGTTCAAGATTAGACCATATTTTGTCTTTTAAATGAATTAAAAACATTAATTTAGAGGGCTAATAATTTGAACATATCCAATATTTTATGAAGGTGGCAGATCCATGGTTTTAATTGTCTTAATGAGAAGCTGCTCATGAGGTCATTTGGCCTATATTTGGTTTGATACACAATATAAGGAAGAAACAGAAAGTTGGGGGAACTATCAAACCAAACACAGCCTTAGTGTTAAAGTTAAAAAAAAAAAAGGGTTATAAAGGAAATAAGAACCTTCCACGTGGCAACTTCTTATTGACCATACGAAGGCTGATGTTCCTCTTTTCCACCTCTAATTCATTCATTATCTAATTAATGACACTGACATTGTATTCAGTATGGGGAAACTGTGTCAAATAATCTTGTTTGGTCAAATATTAAGTTATGTTTGATGTATAAATTAAAGAAACACTTTATCTAGAGGAATGAAATCAAAACCAATATGACCTCTTTGATAGCGCCTTTGTATCGGGTTTTCTTTTTCTGTTTGAATTAGGAAATTAAATTGGATTGATCTGAATTAGGCAACAACACAATTTCAGAGCAAAAGGGAGATATATTCATACCACTCTAGTTATATTTTGTTTTAAATACAAATTTTATTTATCCCGAGAAGCCCTCAGATATTGATTGTGATACATCTTCTATGTGCCCATTTGGGAGAGCTTTCAGGCAGCAGCTCCTGGCATTGCAAGGTTAAGTTATCCACAAAGAAACCCATCGGGTCATGTTTGGTGAAGAATCCGGAAGATCCGAAATATATCTCAAGCAATGTTGAAGCCCTCCCAAATGAGTCCAAAATATGCTATTCAGACCGGGTTACTATCCATACAGCTTCCAGTATGTTCTACAGTCTCACATCTCTAACATGATTGTACTTTGTCATTGATGGGATTGTACTTTAGATTAGTGGCTATTAGAGTTAGAGGTGTTGTGGGTGATGTTGAGAAGGGAATAAGTGAAGGTTCAAAATTTCGTTATGTATATACATGCGTCGTTAATATACTTATTTTAAGGTGTTTTTAAAAGAAATATTTGTTAATTTTATATCTTAAATAATGTTATTTCCTTTCCTCTGCGAGATTTTGATATCAAAAACCTAAAAGAAAATCCCAATATACACCCCTTCCACCGTATTAGAGTGTATTTGAAATTTTGAACTTTGGAAACATGTGGACAATCCAATGAATGGATCCTCTATGTACGGGACAACCGGGACACTGGATAATTCAGATTCACTATAGAATTTTCCCACATGGCAAAAATGGGCATAATTGCTTGCCAAGCTTCCTAGTTGATCTGAGTCTAGATGTGGTCATGTTCACGATGTACGGCTTGGGACCATGTGTTGGGACTAGATCCAAACTTTTTTTTTATATATTATATTTCTATAATTATAAAATAAAAGCATAAAAGGAGGTATATGTATCAAGGTTCAAAATATCAATACGTCTCATACGTTGACAAAGGTGTATCGGGTGTTTCAATACTTGTTTTTTTTTATTTTTTTATTTATTTTTTATTTTTTTTAAAACTGGTTTAAGGGAGTCGGTCTAAAACCCCTTCATCCCCTAAATCAATTAGACCCCAATACATCCACTGTAAGTACGTATCGAAGAGATCCCGAAATAATACGTATCAGTCGATACGGACCGGTACATAACCATACTTTAAACCTTGATATTTGTTGCACGTGGTATTAGCAGTGGAGGTCCACTTTAGTCATATAGATTTTATTGCTTCCCTTCAAACCTTTTCACAGAAGTGGGGCATCAGCTTTATGGTAATAGATAAGCATGGGTACCTTTTTCAAGGTCAAGGAAGCAGCAAATTTGGCCTTTTGCATTCAGGAACTTCAGCACCAAGGGACATTATCTCTTAAGAAATATGACAAATAATTGGAAAATATTGATATTGAAGGTTTTCAATTGGCTCAGTTGATAGACTTTGAGATTGATTCCCACCTTCACCCCCAGTTGTGGGGAGGGGGGTGTTGGGTCCAGTCCAATGTGAGTCCATTATAAATGGATCATGTCTAATCTAGTTAAATGTATGTTTTGGACCAGTTCAATTCAATGTTTGGATCGTCCAATCTGTTTAAATTCATTTTGATTTAGATTGGTTTTAATCCAATCTCAGTCCATTGACACATATATTCTTATCTTATATCATGTACTAGATATTGGCTTAATCCAACCCAATCCAATATAAATTAATTACGGATAGACCAGGTCCAATCCAATCTAATAAATATTTTAGACTGAATTGGTCCAATCCAATATATCATGTTAGTCCGTTCAAATTAATTTTGGACTGGACGGGGTCCAATCCAAAACCGGTCCATTGACACCTTTAGATAGAGATCAGATTAGCTGAATTTGATAGCTGTGGGACCAATCATTTTGCTCTATACCAGCTATAAAATGTATATGGCTAGCCGACAACTACTTGATGTCCCCCTTGCATTTATAGCTGGCGTGGGACAAATTGATTAATCCCACAGCCGTTAAAACAGTTATCAAATTCAACTAATCCATAGTCGAGGAGTTATGGGTATTGGGGAATGGGCTACCCTCTCATTGATGTAGAAGGAAACCCTTGATTTCTACAACATTCAAGAGCCTAGTGACCACCCAAATTAGCATTCCACTGTGGGTGGAATGGTAAAATCTTGGGTTAAAAAGCATGAAAAATGTGAATTCATCAACAACAAGACACAGTGTCCAAACATTGTGATTGAATGAGGCAACATCTCTCACATTTTGGTGATCAACATTAAACGTAAAATTTATTGATTCAAGGTTCAAAGTATCGATACTCTTAATGCGCAAAAATCACATATCAGGAGTTTCATTCCATCAATTCTCTTTGTTTTTTTTTTAATTTGTTTTTTTGGAATGGCAATTTGCCATTGGAGATGGAAATTAACTTTTGAAAGAGTTGAAAATTGAAATCACCTACCTCTCTATGTAGGTTAGGTGTTTGGCATCAATGACGTTTCTTCGAAAAATGGCACCACATGCACCATGTCCGGTATCTGTTTTTCCTCTTTTCGGAAAATGCATGATGTTTGGTTAGTCATTTTTTCCAAAAAATGTTTTCTTAAACCAAACCTTACAAATCAGGAAAGATGTGGTATGAGAAAACACCAAAAACAGCAATGATATCAAATAGATATCTATGCAGCACCGTCAGGAAAATGGCATTGTTCCAAACACCGCCTATTCCATCGATCAGGTCTGTTACTCATCATCCATGTCTTCCAAGACTTTGGATAGCCAAAACTAGCATTGGGGAATAGCCTTTTTACATCAGATTAGCATTCATGTTAAACAAAACCATGTTGTCAAAGTTGAACCAAACTGGATGGTTGAACCGGTGACCCAATGATCAGATGAGCTTTCCTACTCTTGGTTATTTGGCAACAGTGTTGTAAGACTTGGCCTGGACCAGACGGTTAGACCATGAAAACCTAGAACTAGTGGCCTTTCTGGGTCTTGGTTAAATGACAGTTTTGATAGATTGAACCGGGAAACCACTCGTTAATCAGCAAAACTAGGACCCGTGTATTATTCCGGTTTTTTATCCCATTTGAGTCTTACAACATTGTTTGACAATATTTATGGCCCAAAAGATCCGGTAGGCCGGTTTTCTGTCTGTTGACATTGAACACAACTACACAAGAATGGTCAAACAATTCACAGACCTTTCAAACATTGGGCTCTCATCCATGCTGTTGTGGGCTAATGGGCTTTGATGATATAAAAGGCCCCTCGTTTTTTCTAGCCCATCTTATGCATCCAAAGATACAGTACTCAAACCATTGGATAACTCTCAATGAGATGGAATTTAAATTCGGATAATCTTCAGCCCGAGGTGAAATTTTGAGAAGAATTTGTCAGTGATATTTTGAAGAGAAATTGGTACTTCTCCCTTGTAGGCTAATCAGAGCTTCTGCCACATTTGGTCAAAGGGTTGACCAGGTTTATCCTACCAACAACACACGTGGCAGAAGATGAATGGTGACTGCATTGAACGCTTTGACCATTGACATGGGCGTTGCCTTTAGAGACTTCATTGGGTCTGAACCATCTAGAAGACTAGAAGTCACCCGTACCACTCTACGTCTCTCCAGTTTATTGATCAGATCAGAGGATCAAGCTCATAGTTTCAAGTTTCAACTCTGAAGACCCGTGATTCAATGGATCTATCCAGCTAGGCAGCTACATCCTGATTCAACGGATCCATGACAATGATCCAAGATTTGAATGACGAGGGCCCATGACTCAATGGATCTACATCTTGAAGAATATTGGGCCAGAAACCGGCTTAAATTCTTGTTCCAAATTAAAATGTACGTTTTTTTCTGAAGCAAGTAGCCAAATAGTTGGACGGTGGTCAAAAATCAAAATGGTCTGTTAAGAAATAACTTTGAAAACGATGTATAAATCAATTATCTAGCAACATCTGATCAGATTATTAGTTTATTCAGATTATGATCTTCTGAATATCTGCCATTACGACCCTCAGGCCACAAATTGATTGATTATATGCAAGTTCAAAACATTATAATGTATCGGGCATATTGTATCGTAAATATCGTAAATATCTCAATAATGTTAATTATTAAGTATTTCTAATTTTTGTTATTTTTAG